TAATCCTTTATTATGCCCTCTAGCATTTTACAAACTACCGATGTTAGACTGACCGGCCTATAGTTCCCAGGTTGGCACCTAGCCCCCTTTTTGAATATTGGGACTACCGTAGCCCTCCGCCAATTACCGGGGATCCTACCAGTCATTAAGGAGTCCTTAAAAATGAGGATTAATGGTCTAGTTATAACCTGGCTTAATTCCTTAAGTACCTTGGGGTGCAGGTTATCCGGACCCACTGCTTTGTTTGCATTGAGCATTTTAAGTCTTTGTTGTATTCTGGTTTCCGTCAACCACTGGGGTATATTTTGAGTTAACCTGGGAGTTTTATCATGTGTGTCAAACCCGTTTCCCTCCCGAGTGTATACTGAGGAGAAAAAAGCGTTCAGCGCCTCGGCCCTCTCCTTGTCGTTTGTGTATCCTTCTTTACTAGCTAATTTACATCCAGCACTATAGTTCAAAACAGTGGTGCTGTGGGCCAAGAGCACCTTGAAACTTTTGACCTCAGCTAGGGAACACCAGGATACTTTCAGAAAAGGTCTGCCACTGACAGGGTAGCAGAAGTAAAATGAAGAGGCAGAGTAGCAACAGGAGGGCCTACAAAATGTTTGGTAAGAATATGGTAATTTCCTTCTTTACTACAAGGGCAAGCATTTATTTAGACCCAACAAGGCAACGGTGCCATGGGACAAGGGAGTCACCTTGATATCTTTGCCCTCAGGGCACATCAGGATGCTTTCAGAAAAGGTCTAGTGCTGACAAGATAGAAAAGTAAAATAAAGCAAAGAACAGACCTCCTTTTCAAATCAAGAAGTAAGGAGAACCTTCCCCTCCTCCCCTTCATTCTCGTGAGGTGATCATATGATATGCCACAAGACCAGCATGTAGGGGATGAGAGGAATATTTATGTAGACTCCCCAACTGGATTCCAATACCAAGTAATGGTCAGCAACGCACAACCATATGACACTATAAAGCAGAAAAGCCTGCAAACATGGCCTCCCCTATTTTCATTTATTATTACAAGTTATACATAAACAAAGTTTGAAAAGATACATTTACTGATAAGATTATTTACATCAAGCTGATACCTTGCATGTTGCAATAAAAGCCGAACATTGTAAAAACCAAACATTCCCTTCAAAGCAGAACATATTTTTGCTCTGTGTTTTGATATGGGATTTTATTCTAACTTCCTGCGCCATCACTGGAACAAGAAGAGGAAAAATCTCTAAAGCGGGGACAGAGATAACAATAAAATCACTTTTTAGTAAAGTGGATTAGCAAGAACCCCTTTCAGATTTTATAGCAGGGTAAATAGGTTTGGTTCCCGATTGGCCACAGAGACAGGTAGTGAGAACAGGTCTCCCCAGCTGTGCCAGAGATTGAAACATTGAAGACCACTATCACCTGGGGGTTGGTGATGTGGGGTACCACATCCCAGAATTCAGTATATCAAGTAAATGGAACTGGTCTTTTCTGATGCCCACTCATAGATCTTGTATTGTTTTTAAATACAATGTAATTTTATTTATACAAAACTATTTACAATAGATAAAATAAACATATATCGTATCTGAAATAATAGAGGATGGGCTCATTTAACCTCCCTGGCGGTATGATTATGTCAGGAATTTTGTGCCAAAAGCGGTACATTGTTTTATTACCGCTAGGGAGGTTAATATATAAAAATGCTTCATAACATTCACATCCAATTACTACATTCTTTCATACATATTTTAATCATCATATCAAAAACCTCTTTACACATGTATATCACATTTTAATTGAGGAGATGCATACTTGGATGGGATTCACTCAACATGTTTCACCGATAATAAACCCTTCATCAGGTGTTCCTGAGGCACTATTCAAGCAAAAGACAATAAGTATGCAATATTGAAAAGTGTAACACAAACATAATATTAATCATAGATTGATATTCTTACTTGATATGCATATTAGTCCAGCAAGGAACCAACTTTCCAGAAGACATCTGCTAAAAGTCTTGAGGGCCATCAATAACTACTCCCCCTAAGATTATGAGGTCAGTAATGGTTTATTGTTATAATAATAAGTTTAATTAGCAGGCATCTTCTGGAAAGTTGGCTCCTTGTTGGGCTGGTATGCATATTGGTAAAAATATCAATCGATATATAATATTATGTTTGTGTTACGCTTGTCAGCATTGCATACTTATTGTCTCTTGTTTGGGCCTCAGGGACTCCTGATAAATCAGATTATTATCTTTGAAATGCGATGAGTGAATCCCATCCAAGTACCCGTCTCTTCAATTGAAATGTTATATACATGTGTAAAGAGGTTTTTAAAACCAATGATGATCAAAATATGTATGGCAGAAGGTGTTCATTGGATGTGGATGTTAGGAGGCATTTGTATATGTTAAATGAGCCCATACGCTATCATTTCAGATATTATATGTGTATACTTTATCTATTTTACATTGGTTTGCATTAGGGATGTTCAGATACCAAGTACTGTACTCCGTACAAGTACAGATACTTTTTCAGCTCCGAGACTAGACTAGAGAAAAGTTCATAAGTTAGGAGGCAGCTGTAATTTTTAAGGAGCATACGGTGCTCCTGGGATTTGTACATCCATGTTTTATTGTATAAATGTATATAAAGGATGCACCGATACCATTTTTTCAAGTACGAGTACTGATACTTGCCCAAGTACTTACAAGTACAAGTACTGATAAATTTTTGTTTATTGTCATGTGACAGTTTTTCTAAAACAATACAGAATAATAACTGCTGCAACCTTGGTAGTTCTTGTGAAAATGCCAAGTATCGGCACTGGCATCTGAACTGGTATCTGAACATCCCTAGTTTGTATAAATACAAAGAAGTATTTAAAAACTATATAAGATCTTTAAGTGGGTACTTTAAAAATCCAGTTTCATTTACTTGGTTGATCCACAGATAGTTTTACATTTCTAACAGAGGTTCTAACACTTACCCACTATATGCCAAACTTAAAAAAAATCTAAGCTTTATTCAAAGTTGGGTTTTAAAAACATATTTTATTGTCATAAAGTAAATATTTCCAACACGATAACACAGGATGCATATAAAACAATACTAATTATAAACTAAACACATGTCCCTTGTGTTAGCATGGTTGTTTGTCTTTGGAGTAGGATTTTGTTAAATCCTGGTTTTGTTTGTGGGGCCAAGGATCTTGTAGTCTAAAATGGTGACATCAGGCTCCAAACACATAAAAAATAGCCCTCATCTATACAGTTTATTTTACATATGTCGTGTACTTCCTTTCTTTTATTAGGAAAGGCAAAAGTATGTAATAAGGGTAAGCAAAATCCTATCATAAAATGCCATCTGATCAGCAGCCAATCCACGTGTTATTGGGGAAAGTGCATCGTTCGTATCGTTCCTGACAATTAAAGATATTTAAATACCCCAAATCCTTTGCCCATCTTCCAGCTGCAGAGAAAGTGAGCCATAAAACAGCAGGGGGTCCACAGCCTGTGTTTCTGGGCTGAAGCAGGAACACACAGAACACAGCAGGACTATATGCTAATAGCAAACATAACATAATTATAAGGAAAAGCCATTAAAATAAATATTAACATAAATACTACTCTTCAAACGTCGAAACAGGTCATTTCAGTTTCCATGAATATATCATTTTGAAATTCAGTATGTACTTTACCACTGACATCCAGTCTGTTGCTGTAATGTAATATTTTTCTTAATTGTAGAATTAATCAGAGGCACATATGGACATGGTGTCACATTAACATTTTAATCATAGCTATTGATACTACTGTTCTATAAAGCATTGCAGCACCTTTAATGTCATCGTGTGCCACACCAGCATATGTTTAACTAAAAGTGCTAATTAAACAATGCAAAAAAAATTCAGAAAAAGCATAAATGGTATGTTGAGAACAATTATTGGAAGATAGCCCATGTAAAGAGCTCTTAGCTTCTTTTTATGCCCTTCACGTAGCAAGCCTTGTCTTCATTTCCAGTGCCAACTTTTTCATACCGAGCCAGGCATCTTATTCAAGTGGCATATGACCAAACTACCCAGTAAGTATGTAGATGTTACCACACAGGGAAGTGATGACGCCATGCATCAATTCAAAATTGGTTCTGTGTTTAGGAACAAAAACATAAGAATAAAAGTTCCTCCTGGTGTTCTGTAGCACGTTGTTGCCCCCTTTTATTGCTACTGTCATTTTAGCTATGACTCAGCCTGTTTTTTTTAATTCTGCTCTTTTGCTGCCTTCCTCCTGTCCTACTTTGCCTGTGATATGAGTTTTCCTGAATGCTGGTCCCCCTGACCTCAGCTAGGTCATGGACTATACTCTTGCTTGTTGGTGTGGCTCTTCACTTAGTTTATCATATAAGCTGTCTTTTGGTCAAGCATTGGGCATTGCTTGGGAATAGTCATACCGGAAAACCCATATGTGTAGGGTCTCTGATGAAGGATTGCTGCCCATTGGAACCATTTATTAGGGTAGCCCACATGTTGTAGACACAGAGAGTTCACAATATTCATGATATTTTAGATAATCACATATTGATGCATGTACAACATCAACAGTCATGTGGAAAAGCAAGTATACCCCATTGAAATGGTTGACCTTTTCAACATGTTTGAACAGGAAAGCACTGGATCTTTATTTAAACAGTGCCTACAGATAAAGGTGACATACTTGAGCAAATGGCAGATAAAGTTGACATAGTGAATTCATATGAAATAAATAACGAAAAAGCAGATTTGTCATGTGGATAAAGTAAGTACTCACATTTAACTCAACTTCAAATCCATGAAATTAGAATCAAGTGTTTCAGGTTAGGTGCCGGTCGTTATAACCTCCTCAGGGAATATGCAGGTGGAGTCTGTCTTATTTAAACCTTAGCTGTCTAGGGTCCGGTGTTCTCTTTGCTATTGAAGTGTGTGGTGTCATCATTCTACGATTAAATTAACTTTCCAAGGCCTTTACAAAGAAGGTCGTGAATGCCTTTAAGACTGGCAAGGGATTTTAAAAGATTGACGAATTTTTTTAAAAGTGATTATTCACTATATGGAAAATAATCTACAAGGGTGTGAAGTGTGTCAGGAAAAAGCCTTTGCTCTCCAAAAAGGACATCTTTTAGATTGTAAGCCTTCACGGGCAGGGCCCTCCCTACCATCTTGTCTTGAATTGTATTCTGATCGTAATGTCTTCCTTATATTGAAAGTGCTGCGCAAACTTTTGGCGCTATATAAAACTTGTATAATAATAATAATTAGAGTAAGACTGCAGTTTGCTATTACACATATAGGCAAAGACCAGGCCTTCAGAAACAATGTGCTCTGGACCGATGAATCAAATATAGAGTTTTTTGGCCACATTAACAGTAAACATGTTCAGCGAAAACCACGGACAGCATTTCAGGAGAAGAACCTCATACTGACTGTGAAGCGTGGTGGTGGAGATTTTATGATTTGGAGTTGCTTTGCTGCTTCAAATTTGTGCAGCTTGCAGTCATCAAGAATTATGCCTGATGAAAATGTGAGACCATCTATCAAAAATTTTAACCCAGAAATGGATCTTTCAACACAATAATGATTTGAAGCACAGTAGCTAATCCAGCTCAGAATGGCGCATATAGAAGACATGAAGTGTTGCCAGGAGCTGGGCGGGACTGCAACCAGAGTGGCTGCATCACTCCTGCACACCTGGGTGGCGGCGTCACTCTCCACCAGCACACCCCCTCCACTGAGTTTGTGCACCACCAGTACCCCCACCTTCAGCCTCAGGTGACAAAAAAGATCAGGACGCCCCTTGAACTAGCCATAGAAAAAACACAATGGTCAGATAGTTTATGATTGATGCTCTAACAAATATGTACAATTATATGTTGGCAAACACATGCAGCACTGTTTTTAAAGGGAGTCTCCAAGTTTGTTATTGAAAAAGAGAAAAGAAAACAAGTCTACTACATATATATGCTGCAAGGCTTTTTATTGTACATTCATAACGGCTTCTGTTCTGACATATTACAAACACCCCGTTCCATCTCCTTCCATGGGCTTCTGATATTGTTCAAAAGCAGATCCAGTGGGAGGTTCTGCCGGCAGGATGATGGCCATAGTTCTGTACATACTGCGAGATGCTGAAATGATTAAAACTAATAAAGCTCCTAACCGAGGCCAACATAAGTTTGTAAACTGTAAATGAGAAGCAATTTACACCAATTCTCCTTCTCCCTCTTGGCTATGCAGAGCGGTTTGTACCATTTCCACTGATGAATCATCTGTATACCACCGGGAGATGAGGGAATGTCTTTTGATTACTTTCTGTAGTTAGATAAAGATACTGTTGATGATTAAAGCAATAAGTGCTTTTTAAAAGCTGCTGCTAAAGCAAACCTTCTAGAAAATTAAAACCCAACCCCCCAATGTGTATTATGCAACATTTTAAAGCCTTAACTTACCCTCTGTGCTGCCCCCCCTAAAAGGTAACTTGCAAAAACAGATGCTTATGGTACTTGCACAGCATTTGACACATCCCATACCAAAATTGATAATGCTCCTGTCTGGCAGAGAACTACATTGTGGGAGGGCCATTCTTGAAAGTGCTGTGATTTTAAATCCTGGCTGTGGTGAAACCAGCAACCATGGAGCTAGTTTAGACCCTGGAGGATGCCCGGTCCACAATGAGGGTATGGGTTTGAATTTTTTTTTTTTTTAAATTACTGACAGATTTGCTTTAAGGCCAGATCAAATTTGACATTCTGAAGCAAGCCAGAAGTAAATCATAAAAAAATAAAAATGGGAAGTCATTTGTATCACAATAATATCCTATTTTCTTGTATATTCTTTAAAGTGGACCTCTATCCCCTTATTTCTCTAATGATGTGTCCCGCATGTGTGTATGCTGTTCATCAGGAACACTGCTGTAAGCGCTGAACTTATGAACTGAAATTTACAGTCCTGGCTCTATACTGGTTTAATAGTGGGTCGCTCCATCTCCTCTATTCTCAAAACGTCTTGTATTTTTATTTTACATAATACATGTTGTTCTGTCAATAGATGAGGGGAGGGGCGGAGGGTTGTCACAATCTTCACCTCATCCATTGACAGAATGCCTTGTCTTCTGTAAGTTAATTGCTTACCGTAGTGTCTGTGATGAATTAAAGTGTTCATTTTACCTGTGTTGTAAGTGTTGTAAAAAGGAATACAAATATATAACAGTGAAAAATGGTTTCATTACAATAATATGAATACATTACATTTCAGTGACTGAAAGCACACCAGACCAGAAAGGTTCAAGCCCAAATGTAAAGTCACCAATAAACTCAGGCTGCATTTTTTTCTTTTGAAAGTTTCCTCCACCCCAGCAGAAAACTCTGATGTCGAACTGGCGGCCGCAGCTAAAGATTGATGCTCTCTGTACAGTGGCCCTACATGTCCCCAGCTTTGTAGAGCCACAACAGTGCTATCAGCAGGGAGCAAGAGCAGAGTCAATTGTAGGGGGCCGGGAGGGGGATGTTGGACCTCAGTACTGAGAGCGGTGTTTAGCGGACTTCAAGACTTTACCGGTCTTCAGGACTGGTATCAGAATTTTTGCTGGGCTTTGAGGGTTACCATTCTCCAAACCAGATAATAATAATATTAGGTGAATTGACCTGCTTCTACTATCTTTCATAAACCACAGGTGAGAATTTGAGCTGCCGCTTCTGTCAGTCTCCCGAGTCATTTGAGGTTGGTCCCATTTTTGTGGTTGTCTGCAACAAGGACACCAGACAAATCTCAGAAGACATCGGCTGTCTGGCATTAAAGATTAAATATAGGGTTGTGGAAGCCTGACCTTAAAGTGAAGACAAAGCTGTGTCTGGTGATAGCATGAAGATAAATGTCTTCACATATCCCTTTCACAATCAGACAAGTCCTGGTATTCAGGAACAGCAAATTTAGTGAGAGTATTATAAAACACAGCCATTCATACACCCCTGATCTAACCCAGACTATGTTGACAATTTAAATTACAGAGAGAACTATCCTCCCACTTCCTAACTTCCTATCAGGAGTGAAGAGGAAATTCTCCATAGTGAGTGAAAACTATACTGTTGTCCTTTGAACAGGTGTCTCCATTGAAACAGGTGTCCCCATTGGAAGATTTCCCCTGACCTCCTGTTCCAGGATGGGTATTGCATGCCCACAACTGATAGAGCCAGAAGACAGGGTATTACTGACAGTTTCGTGTAGGCTTGGGTGAACTCAGTTCCTACCAAGACCATGCACATCCCTTGTTGACCAGGTGACAATAGTCAGTAAAGGGGGGTGTCCCAGATAGCAATAAAGACCTATTGAAAACAAATTCTCTCTTTCTTCTGCAGGGTTTGTGTGGACAATCGCTATTGTAGTAGGATCTCCAATGCTTCATGTGCAAACATTAGAGGTAAGTAAATGGCTAAATATAAGGCAAGTGGTCATATCCATCCAGCAATGCACTTGGGAAATTTTTGTTTATTACAGAAACATTAAAACTGCAGAATGTGGGAAGGAAGGGTGATAGAGATCAGGCTTTGGGGAGGAGAAATACCCAAATATAGTATAACAACCTGTGCATATCAATAGAGATATACAGAAGGGACCTGAGGGGTGTAAGGGAAACCGATGTGTGAGGCAATTCTGATTGGAAGGGTGACAGACGTGACTTATATCTTCATTTAAGTTTGTTATTTTTTTATTTAAAGACTATAGTTTCTTTAATCATTCTTTTTAGATATGATAATGTGAGTAGCTTATTACAAATAACTGTATGAGCAAGTGTTCTTGTCTGTGAAGGTTCTCATTCATCCAGGTCATGGTATATCTGTAAAAAAAATTAAAAAAAATCAGAGACTGGACTTTCTGTATTTTTCTTGAAGACGTTTCGCTGGTTATCTGACTAACTTTCTTAATTCAGAGTTAATTTTCTCAATTCAGAATTGAAAATGTTGTTTGAAAGAAATCTGGGGCTGTCATTGCTGACTTTTTTCCTTTTCCTGGTTGCTATGCCTACCTTTAAAGCTCATTTAAAACCCTTGAGCAAAGATTTCATCAATTGCAGCTTACCAGTCCTTATATGTGGTGGCTGCATTAGTTTTCTTTTGTTTCTGAAGATTTCTGGCAGGATCAATTGCAGCTTACCAGTCCTTATATGTGGTGGCTGCATTAGTTTTCTTTTGTTTCTGAAGATTTCTGGCAGGATCAACAGGTAATTGTTGCCCTTATTGAATAAAACGTTTTGGAATGGTTTATTAAACAGAGCAAAAGGGAACAAATAATTGAAGAAGTTAATTGTTAGGGTTTACAAACACTTTGGGGTTGATTCACTGAAGGCAAATAGGTTCAATTTGCAAGGGAATTTTTACTTTGCAGAGGAAGTTTCCATTAGTTTGGTAAACATGGTAACATTCCACTTTGCAAAGAACACCCAACACTCATTTATTATCTTAAGTGAAAATTCCCTGTAAAATGAGCAGCCTATTAATAAATAAACCCCACTAAACCAATGACTTGAATCAAGAATGCAGATAAGGACTTCTGACTTTACTCTGACTTGCTTGAACTGCATACTAGTTTTGGGTCAGTGACTTCCTTCTGCCAGATGCTGTGATTGCAGGTTTGAAGAGGGAGCCGATAGATATATGTGCCACTGACTGTGGTTCCTTCTGTGAATGGTGAAATGTCTCCATTCAGAGACATGAGCCCAACATATATTATTATTGTAGCCACCTTGCCGTCAGCAGGGGGACTCCTTAAATTTAGTTCTAATGGGCTGTATCCAGTCTAGCTGATTTTATAGTCTTTCTCATTTGGTTTCCCCTATGCTCTCTGTTATTGCTTGTATCTGCCTGCTGCTGGGTGTGACCTTGCATTAGAGCAGAGCATACAATAAAGTTATGAATAGGTGTGTCTCCCTAGCCAATCACTAGGAAGTTCATGATCAGTGGTGCATGCTGGGGTAGGACATAAATATTCGCGGCTGACCATGTGAGACTCTCTCTTGCCCCTGGGTCTCCTGCCTGAGGGAGGGTGCGTGAAGTACTGTCTGACCAGGCGTGCATGCTGCAGGTTGTCAGGTATGGAGACTCAGTCGAGGTCTGCAGTTGTTCTGTCAGGGAAGGAAGAAAGTGTGCTTGGGATAGAGAACCACGGAGGAACTTTGTATCTCAGAGGTGACCGAGAAGCCAGAATTTGGTTTGAACCTCGCAGGATGTCTGGTGTCCTGGGAATTCTGTGCTATGTCTGCTAACCAGCTAAGGTTCTACAATACATAGTGCTACTACAATCAGTTTAAAGGCCCTATGCACTGTGAAGCTGGGAAGTGGTTGGTGAGTTTGTACTGTCCTAGGTGTTTGTGGCCCTTACCCTCTCTCCCATATGAGTTGCTAAAGCAATAAACTCTTAAAAAATGTTTAAAGTCAGTGGCGCCCAACTGTACATTCGCATCCCACAACCAGCTAATGACTTATCTCTGAGATGAAATGTTAGCCTGCCCCCTGCCTCTGACGTCTCCCACATGCTCCTAGAGGTCATAGCGTGTTACATTTTTAATGGCCTGGGAAAGGGGAGGAGGGAAAAGTCCCTCTATGCCCCCCGGACCATTCCTGCTCTGGATGACGGTGACTACCAGGACAAATAGAGAGGGTAAGTCTCTGTAGCATAGTGCAGACAGCAATACCATCCTAACAGGGTTTCTAATCTACCCCACTCTATCTAAATAAAAATAAAATGAGTTAGAGATATGAGTGTAGTTCCTGCAGCTGTTTCACATAATTTGGGTTGGCAGCATTTGTAATATGAGCTGTTGTCTTGCAGGTGAAATACGACTTGTTGTATAACTTGTATCATGTGTGTTGCCTGGAGTCCTGGAGCAATGCTGGACTGCGCCAAGCCTATGCCATCTTCATCCTGGTGGCCCTGTTCCTGGTACCACTTGCTGCCATGCTTCTCCTGTACACCCGTATCGGGTACGAGCTGTGGATTAAAAAGCGCATTGGAGACTGCTCAGTGCTGAACACTTTAAGCCGTAATGAAATGGCAAAGATCACCAGGTATAATGACTATGGAACAGACTTGCTTGTAAAATGAAGTTTCTATCACCTTATTAATCTTCTAATTCCCTTTAAAGTATTTCAAAGGTTCAGCTCCAATACAGGATTTTTGAATTCTCCGTGATGGAAATGTAGCTATTTGAAAACCTTAATATGCGTGGTAATAAGAAAATAAATCTTCATTTTCATTTCTTGAGTGCAGTAAAATTTATTCTTTAAAGTGAAGCAGGGAGGACATAAATATGGAAGCTCCCACTGACTTATTTTTAAAGGTGTAGCCAGTGCAGAAACAAGGTCCTCTGACACCCAAGGGGAAGATGCCAAAGTACACCCACTGCGCCCAGGCTGAGAGGGATTGTGCTTGCACATCCATAAGTACAGTGGCTGCTCAAGCTACAGAATTTAAACCCCGTATCTGCCAGCACTTGGTAAGCAACCTTTTAGTGCAAGGAAAATAAATTGTTATGTGGGGGAGGGGTTTTGCAGCATGATTAATCCATTCATTACCAAATTGCACACCAAATTTAGCAGCATCAATATGTGTTACCATAACAATAACTCTATGACTAATTTGCATTTCTAAGTGTTTTTTTACATTTTTTAGGGATATATAAAACTGTTATCTGGTACCACCACCCGCCCAACAAATTTCCACCCGCACAACAAATTTCACACCCGCACAACAAGATTCCACCCGCACAACAAATTTGACCCCTGCCATCCCGCCCCAACTCCTGGCAACCAGCAACATCACCGGCCAGGGCATCCCAGGTTGCTAAGAGCTGGGCTGGGAGATGTGTAAGGTCCATACACATCTCCCTGCTTAGTTCTTAGCAACCTGATATGCCCTGGCTGGCATCCTGCATGCATACACATCTCCTTTCCCTCTCTGGTTGCCTGGAACTGGGCGAGGAGATGTGTATGGCCCTTAAACATCTCCCCACCTGGCTCTTGGCAACCTGGGATACCCTGGCCAACATCCCACCAAGCTCATGTCATCACTAGTTGCCAGGAGCTGGGCGGAACATCAGCCTGAGCATCCCAGGTTGCTACGGGCTTGGCCAGGAAGATGTGTATGGAAGAGGGTTGGGGAGAGACAAAAAGTCAGCTGTCTCCATGCATCTGCGATTTTACGCTCACCCACGTGGCAGTGTCCCAACCCCTTTTCAAGTGGTGCCCAGGGCATGTGTCATATGTGCCATACCCTGGATATACCACTGTCTGGTACACTGTTTTAATAAATTCCCTGCTCATGTTTTTATTATAAACTGGCAAATGGAAAAAGCAATTTTAAATACATTTTTAGTTATATTTTAAACCATTTTTCTTCAAAAGCTTTTTAAACTAAGTATTTTTTGTATACGTTATATTGTACTCTTCCTGCTGCAGCCTGCTAGCTTCACCTGTTACTGTGTCTCTCTGTGCAAGGCCCAGTGACAGCTGCAGCCTGCAGATTTGTTTGTAAACAACCGCAAGTGATCACCATCATTGGCTGTTATGTTAATTACGTGATTTAGAGCAATGCAGATTGGTCACTCATAATTATTATGAGACAAGTAACAGTCAGTGACAGTGCAGATCCAGGACTAAAGGTGCCCATACACCTTACAATTATCTGCAGATTTTCTGTGGTCAGATGGAAAAGGTGCAACAGATTCCTCCATCTACACTAAACTGTGTGGATGGTGTAATCTCCACCTGGGCCAATCTGTTGCACTTTTTCCATCTGACCACAGAAAATCTGCAGATAATTGTAAGGTGTATGGGCACCTTAAGAGAATAATATTCTCCTAGACAGGAAAGAGTGTTTGAGAATATTAATCTGCAGATTGCATTTAGGAGGGGTTTTTAAACCCAGTGTGAGTCAGTTATAGTAAGAAAATGAGGCACAGGGTTTCCTTAAAGGAGGACTATGAGGTGAGTGCTTTTCACTCACCTCATAGTTCTAGCCGACCTGTAACAATGAGACTGTCACAGGTCGGCTAAGTATATCGGGAGGTGAACGAACACATACCAGCATTCGCTCACCTCTCGATCCTGTCACGGCTCTCTGCCATGACTGGGGAGGGGCTGGATTCCCCCCTCCCCGCTCCAATCCGCCAGCGCTGACTGGTGGAACGGATGGGGGAGGGGGCGGGTACAGCTGGCTCTGCCTCTAGATAGGCAGAGCCAGCTGTCAGTCACGCAGCTGGGCGAATCCCGGCACAATTGTCGGGATCCGCTTCAGCTGCGGCGTCTCAGTATACCGCGAGCTACAGCTTGCGGTATACTGAGCCTAGGGTGACGGGAAGACGCTAGTTTGTGTCCTCCCATTACCCTAAGGAGAACTATGGGGAAAAGCCTTAACCCCATAGTTCTCCTTTAACATTATGATAATTATGGTCTTTTATTTGGGAGCTATGGTAGCTTATTACGTATGTGAAAATCTTATTCTGGGATTTGTCGCTTATATAAAGGCAATAAATTTATGTTTCTGGTAAGCACAGAGAAGATATATACAAATTAACTAAGTATGTTTTTTTTTTTTAAAAGCAACAAACATAATAAACTATATGATAAAAGTTTACATACAAAATCTCATGTACAGTTGCCACAAAAGTGCCGCTACTCTTTTAGAAGTTGTACATATGCATGCACAGTACAGGACATTAAAGTATTGTTTTTCCAAACTTTGGTCAGCAGTGCCTTTACTTTTGTAAAGCATTTGTAAAGAATGCGGGATGTTTGAATTCCACCTAGCTTTTATAGACCAGTGTTAACTAAAATGAAATGATGCTTTTGCGAGGCATTGTGTTGTTGTTAAATGCAGCAAGTCCTCTTTTTCTATTTTTGAATTGCTTTTATGCCTTTATAAAAGTCAGTAAGATTGCCATGGGAAACTTAAAAGTTCCTCAAAGAAATGTATTATCAAAAGCAAGCAAAGAGTGCACATTACCTCATGGTTTCTCTGCAGTGTTTTACCCCTCCTATCAGGGCCTAAAGTGACATTAAAGTCAAAAAATGTTTCCCTCCCCCCAATGTTAAGTAAAGCACTTACCTTAAATAATGTCTCTTAATCTGATCTTCCTCTTCTTTCCGGTCCTTTTCAGCCTTCTCTCCAGTGCTGCGGCGGGTCTCCGATCCAGCGCTGACTCTTCTGTCCTTGCTGGCACTTCCTCTCCCACGGTGTCTGCATGCGGGTGCACACGTCCATAGACTTACCTTGCGTCTCTCCTCGTCTCCCGGCTGAAGATCCGAACTGCGCATGCGCCCACCCCAAGATGCTTTTCGGCCGTCCGGGCAGTTTTGGATTTTCAGACGGGAGCGCGCGGCGAAGACAGCGGTAAGTTTAAACCACTTTTAAAGCGTTTTTTTTATTTTAAACTTTTTGCATATATCTACTGCTTGCTAGCAGTAGATATATGCAAAAAAAACCCCGTAGGGTTTAGAAACCCTTTAATCATAGGATCCCATGATGAAGCTTTAAAAGGGGGGTAAAACATGGCAGAGGAACCAGAAGGTGTAGTGTCCTCTCTTCTTGCTTTTGATAATAAACTTCATTGAGGAACTAAGGATGATAGGGTGGAAGACTTCATTGCTTGAAGCTTTACGTGTCTGTGGGAGGAGATGAGGTCCAGAGAGTGCATGGCACCACTGGCTAAAGACCCTGGGCCCTGGAGAAGATGCCACTAAAAAATACCCTAAGACCACATTGTAAAGCATGGAAAATACAACTTTATTTCACCTACAGCGGATCTTAAACTATTTACCTTTGGAAGCACCTACAAAATATTGCATTGGACTTCACCCTAAATAAAAATCAAACTCTTTCCCTAAGGATTACATGATTTCCTTTTATTCCTTTTATTCCCACCACAACATTCTGTCAGTGCCCAGTATATATCTTGCCTTTCTGAGCTATGTGGAGCCTATAAAAACAACCGCATCCAGTTTCTTATTAATAATATTAGGGCAAGTAATACAACATAGAGTCCATGTAGCCTTTATTTAATCTTATATTGCCACAGTTTGTTTTTCTGGTTATGAAATCTGCAAATGTTTATCTCTAGGAATTTACTGATTAGCATTTAGATGTATTACATGCCAGCTGGGGATCATGTATTTCCCAGGAGATGATGACATCTGCTAATGATGGCACACTTTCTTTACTCTAAAGAATTATCAGTGGAGATGCCAAAACCTAAGATTTGAAATTGTGCACATGATTTTTTATCGTGACTGGTAGATGCTCAGAGGCTTAACTGAAAACAAAACAATAAAGGGCACATTGGTGTAACGGAATGTACAGCGCTAAATGCCCTTCAGGAAATTCGATAACGGTAAGGATCAGAATGATATCGCCTCCGTGTCAAACAATCATGAACAAGTGTATATATTATATAAATTATTTGTGTATAAACTTATAATGTGCTACAAAATGTATCAACAGGTGTCATAAAAAACGTATCATAATGAAAATAAATATATAAATAAATAAAAAGTCTCCAAAAACATGTGTCATATATGTGAAAAATAAAATTATTATGTTATAAAACGGTCTGTGTTGTTTTCATTCGAAAATTGATAAAGATATGCACTTATAGTGTTTTAAAAAATGTGCACTTAAAGTTTTTAAAGGTTTTAAAGCTCTTAGATCTTCAAGACAAGAAGCCAAAAAAACTTTTTGAAAATAAAATAAAAATAAAAATAAAAGTCACAAGAAATGTTCAATATTGTGAAGTGTCCAACGAAAAAAACGAAAATTGTTCCAGTCTTTTCTGCACTCAGATTGAGTGACTAGCCGACTTTCCCCGTTGACTTTTATGGAATTTATGTAGCGCTTGTTTGTATTCATTACTTGGACCTATTAAAGTTGAACTTATTACGCTATGAGCGCATTTCTCGTGTTCTTTGTCCGGATGAATAGAGGAGACTAAACAGTAAAGATCGTAATCCCTTCATCTCGGAGAAAGAAACGGTTTCTGTAGCCTGAGGCTTTCACCAAACGGGAGAAGAGGACATACATCTTCGGTCTCCATTGGATAAAGTTAAAGGCTTTCGATCATCAGGGATCTGGTGAGTGCATTCCCTATAGGGGATCTGCCTGCTTTTTTTCTCTTTTCGTTTTTTTCATTGGACACTTCACAATATTGAACATTTCTTGTGACTTTTATTTTTATTTTTATTTTATTTTCAAAAAGTTTTTGTGGCTTCTTGTCTTGAAGATCTAAGAGCTTTAAAAACTTTAAGTGCACATTTTTAAAAACACTATAAGTGCATATCTTTATCAATTTTCGAATGAAAACAACACAGACCGTTTTATAACATAATAATCTTATTTTTCACATATATGACACATGTTTTTGGAGACTTTTTATTTATTTATATATTTATTTTCATTATGATACGTTTTTTTATGACACCTGTTGATACATTTTGTAACACATTATAAGTTTATACACAAATAATTTATATAATATATACACTTGTTCATGATTGTTTGACCCGGAGGCGATATCATTCTGATCCTTACCGTTATCGAATTTCCTGAAGGGCATTTAGCGCTGTACATTCCGTTACACCATTATTCTGGAGGCTTTTAGCCTGAGTTCAGCAGCTTTTCCTTCCCTTTGGTTTTAGAATTTTAGCTCCAGGGTTGTATTAATATTAATTTTAATCCAGTTTTTATATATTATATTTTACACACATGTAATATTACTATTTCCATTAGCGCAAGCTAGTTTGGTTTACTGTTTAATAAAGGGCACATTGTTGGTGTGTATCTCTGTTACACTGAAGTGAGAAACATAAAGCAGACCTTGTACTAAAATACAGTAAAATACAGTAGGGACCTTCCCTATACCAAAAAAAAACTGTGGAGAAAACTTTTTTTTTTAAACGGGAAAAAAACCTTATACCTGGCTTTTGCAATGGAGAAAATTACATCAAGATCCTCCCAATGAAATTCCAGGGAACATTGTGTAGCCGAAATCTCATCAGAAGATTTTCCAGTATGGTACGGATCGCTATATGTAACAAGATTTGGGATCCTGGCCATTCCTGGAATCTCATCAGAAAGATTATCATATCCTCATCCAGGCACCACAGGCAGAAGCTGAGTATAAGGTTGTTTATTGAAGGGGGAAACATGAACATAAAACAATGCCAGTGCCTGTATGTGAAAATTCAGTTTCATATATTTGTAGTGTAGATTAGTGACAACAATTCATGTTGCACCATGCCTAGAGAAATTTTCAAACATACACTTGTGTATGTAGTAATATGTTTGTTATTTCAGGGTTATTCCCAAAGCTGCCAAAGTCAGCCGAGTGAATAACCCACCCAAAGTGAAGTGAGCTGAACGCTGTTCGGCTATTCACTTCAGACTTGTACGGCTGATTTCAGCCGTACATCGGCTTGCTTCGGTTCAGCCGAACATGTTCGGCAATTCACCCCCACAGACTTTAATAGGGTTTACTCCAATGTTCACAAACTTTAAGCAGGATTCTTGAAACTGTTCACAAATGATCTGGGGACATTGATTTGTCATTATAACAGGGTGGAGCCAGCTATGAAATTACGTGGAGACCGGTCGGCTTCAGCCGACCTTTCTCCACCCTCCAGCTGTCACTTCGGCTCAATCAAGCTGAAGCCCTTGGCCTGGCTGAGCCACTCGGCTGCTGTACGGGCTATAGTGAATGGCCCGTACAGTAGCCCTTCGGTTCGACTGAAACTAAGGGCAGAGGCGGCCGAAGGATTAGCTGAAGCTACGGCTGGATCCATCAGCTATTTAGTGAATAACCCCCATAATGTTCCATGGTGCTCTGTAACCTTCAAGAAGTGCCAGAAAACATCCTTGTAAAGTATCAAGCCTGGAGTAATCCTCACTGATTTTCCCTTTATGTCTTCTGAGGGAGTTGCCACTGCCTGTGAATCTTGTTGAATCAGCAGGTTTCCATATTGTATGCACAGACTGAGTCTCAGGGGGTATGTTCAACTGCAAAAAGCATTTAAACCAAACAGTAATGGTTTCAGCAAACTCCCCAAAAAATGCCAGTATGGCAGGTCACCTTTTCTGATGATAAGTACTAGTTCCAGCAGTATTGCTTGCAGCTTTCAGGTTCCTGCTGTGCTCTGATATATCTGATCCTGCTATGCTGGCTGGTAATTCAGTTTAATGGACATTAGGTCCTCAGTGTTTGAGCAACACTATCTAGCGGTGACCAGGAACAGCTACATTATAGCAAAGATGAAGCAAACACATGGACAGGCCATGCTGCTGGAATGAGAACTTATCTGCAGTAAATGTAGCTATCACATTTTTAATAGGCTTCACTGATGAGTACAACTGTACATTACTAAGTGAAAGTGCATTTATAGTTTAATGCTCCATCTACTACTGAGAAATGTGTAGAGCAGAGCAATTCTTACCCTCAAAATGTAGCTATCGTTATAATGATTGCAGGAAAGGACATGAATTCCTGAAGCAAGCTTCATTCCTTCCTATAAGTGTACCCATAAAGGTGTTTTCTCTTTTCCTGGTATAGAGACAATAACTTCAGTTGCTTATCATATAGAGGAAATGGCCCAGTTTATGATAACTATTCTATTTCTTGCAATTGAGGTCAACACAGTTGACCTTTTTTGTAAGAAGATTCTTACATGAAATGGATAAAACATAATTTTTAGACATTGTTCTCATGTCGTTATGCGGTTTGCTGATTTAATATAAAAGGTGTTTTGTGCTTCTTTACCAGGAAGAAGAAACGAGCTGTAATGATGATGGTGATTGTCGTGCTTTTCTTCACGGCTTGCTGGGCTCCCTTCCATGTGGTCCACATATTATTTGAATACAGTAAGTTGTGTGCATGGAAAGCGGAACTCACGTCAAAAAGCTCTTGATCCTCCTACCCAACATGCTTATTACACACCATTTCTTTATACCTTGATAACTTGGCAATTACAATAACAAAAATAATTTTAAAAATACATATGACATTATCAATGGCACTCAAGGTGTGGCCGGGAACAGCAAAATTATAGTTTGTGGTGCAACATGTCTCTATTGATCTAACTTTCCTGTGCCATTAACATCTACATATCCCTTAAAGCTTTGGGATTTTGCTGACATAATTGGACATCTCTGTGTCAGGGGAGTTCTATTCTCCTCTGTCACTGCCCCATAAACCAATAACCCAAAATGCATGTTGATAATAAAGAGCAGTCAATCATTTTGCATGGGTATTACCAGTAGGGTTGGGCTTGATGTTCGAGCCGAGCGTGAGTTCGACTCGAACATCGGCAGTTCGTGTGGTTGCCGAGTGCGGGTTCAGGGTGTTCGGCAGGCTGTTTGCCCGCCGAGCACCCCGCACAAGGCACTGTGCCACTGCCTTGTGAGCCCTGATTGGCTAAAGCCTTGCACCTGAATACAGGTCAGGTGCAAGACTTTGCCCAATCAAGGCACAGAAAACACACCTTTTTTTTTTTTTCTTTACATGGGGTCCCTCCTAAAATTCCTACCAGACCTTAAGGGCTGGTATGACTTTTGGGAGGGGGAACTGCACGCTTTAAAAAAAATAAATGTAATTTTTTTTCTTTATAAATATCATTTTTGCTGCAGCAGGTTCTATACATTGTACAGATGTGCCACTTTACAGGCAGTTTAAGGGGACCCCCGGGCATGATATTTAAAGGAATTTTTAATTTTTATTGTTACCCTTTAAGCAATGTTAAAATCACTGCACCTTTAAAAACTTTATTTTTTAAAAGTGTTTTTTTTTCATTGATTCATGTCCCCCGGGGCAGTACCCGGATCCCCAAACACCTTTTATGGCCAATAACTTGCATATAAGGCTTCAAAATGAGGACATTTGATTTTCAATGTTCTACCCATATACTTGCATTTAGTTCGAGTTTGAATTCAAACTTTTCCCATGTTCGAAAGTTCAAATTCAAACTGAACAGGGGGGTGTTTGGCTCATCACTAATTACCAGATGGGTTAATAGGAGCATAATTCTGCATCTAGTAATACACTGTTGGTGTCTGACATCACCTCTGTAGCTTAGAAAACTATAGGGGGCATATAAATGGCAGGGAGTTCAGACAGGAAGTGGGTGTGTGACTGTGCCTGTTGCACTGCCGGACATGTGATTTATAGTTTTTTTTTCATGGAGTGGATTTCTGCATAAGCAGTGAATAAGCAACTTGAGGCAGAGGGGGAAAGGAAATTAAGGATGGGAGTGCCATCACCACCTACTTGCTCAAAATAAGAAGAGTTTAACAGAGTTTAAAACACACAGAATTACGTTCAGACTAAACCCAAAATGTTACATAGTTACATAGTATTTGAGGTTGAATAAAGACATTAGTCCATCAAGTCCAACCTATTAGGATCTCATTCTAGGAGTACCCGTACCCCTGTATATTACGGTCCCTTAAGAAATCGTCCAAAAGTTTCTTGAACAATTCCACATTATTTGCTGAAATCACCGCCTGTGGCAGTGAGTTCCAGACCCTAACTGATCTTACTGTGAAGAACCCCCTTCGCCCCTTGTGCTGGAATTTTTTTCCATCAATTTTAGGTGATGGCCTCTAGTTTTTGTAACGGGGTTAATTTTAAACAGTTTATCGCTAATGTTGCTACCACCATTAAACATTTTGTACATGGAAATCATATCCCCCCTTAATCTCCTCACCTCTAATGTGAACATGTTTAAATTTAGTAGCCTCGTCTCGTAGCTCTGGTCCTCCATACCCCTAATTAGTTTGGTTGCCCTTCGCTGGACTTTTTCCAACTCAAGGACATCTTTTCTTAGTACTGGTGACCACTGGTGAGTACTGGTGTTGGAGAATAACATGCTCCTGGACTAGACTAGATCAGTATATTGCTGAGAGGAGTCTTCGAAGCACTAGCTGTGCTTCTAAAAGCACCACAATGATATGTCAATATATTCTAAACTAGCCTCAACCTTTGGTTCTCATGTATTACATATATTTAAAAGTATTCTGATGTATTTCGTTAACACATCTGAATAACTTTAGTGTATTTATTGCCCAAATTTAGTTTTGGATAGAGTAGGGAAGGGTTAAAACCCTGTTTCAGTTTATTTATTTTTTTGCTGTCTGTGTCCTCTTGGGGAGAATTTTCTTTACTACCTGCCCTAAAAATGAATTGAGAAGTCTCCCCAAAGTAATGTCCCTTTTAAACCTGAACAGATATCCCCCTCAGAAGATTTCCCCTCGCCTCCTGCTCTGGTGACAACTCTAGAATTTTGGTGTTCTCATCACTTTCTTTTTCACTAATAATGTGTATGGGGACAAACCGAGAGGGTGAATCTCCCCATCTAAAGACGTTAGTAGCTTCAAATGCTGGTTAGACTTCCTTCACCTTAAATAAACTCAACTCTTCAGCCATAAGGCAGACATTTTCAAAGTTCTTGTCCAGAACCTTCCCACCTACTTCTCAATGCCCATGATTAATTTTAGGATTCCTGAAATGGGTCATGGCTAAGCAATATAACTGTGTGTGCCCCCAAATACTACTCTATAAATCAGCTTCTGAGCACTGAAGAAGAACCCTGAATTAAACTGAAACTGCAAGGAAACAAATGAATACATAGTCATAATGCATATGCTATTTGCTGTTTTTCCTGCCCCAAGATTTATAATAATAGCCAGCCATTATTCCAATACGCACACCTCTTTTAGTCAAAATGATCCCTCTGCTACTTCCTGGTTGAGCATTGTGGATTCCTGTCTCATCTTCCCGCTCACTGGACTGGAGGGATGGTGCTTATTCACTGTCTGATGAGGAGGCTGGAGGAAAACAGGTGACAAAGGAAGCTGAACTGCTGAACCAGAAAGATGATTTGCTTATTGATGAACTACATGTGACACCTGTCTGGCTGTGCAGTGTGAAAAATCTTGTCTCAAGTCTCAAGAACTGCTGTACAGATTTACAAATCCTTTGATAGGTAAAACAATAAACACAGGTAGCGATGACCGCTGCACGAGCCGCTGGTCATTTTTTTGTTCTCCAGCCTGTTCTGGAATTACCTGCCCTGTTTCTAGATCCAGCAACACCAACAACTTCAGGTAACGATCAGGTTCAAGCCTCAACGTCTTTTTACAGTTTATTGCCGAATGCAAAAGAACTCGGGAAAACTGTAACATGACCATGGATATATGGAAGTCAGTCCAATCAACATCTTATGTGCAACTTCCATGTGTCCAATGTCCATAGTTTATCTTCATATTAGCTATATTTCCATGATATGTGCACATTGTTTATCGGAATCCTCCTGTACTTCAGTATATGTTATACTACATTTTGCATTTCTGTTGAATGTGTTTACTTATATTAATTAGGGATGCACCAATACTGATACTAGTATCGGTATCGGTGCCGATACTGAGTATTTGGGTGAGTGCTTGCCCAAATGCTCCGATACCTTCCCTGATACCGGAACTTTCAGTATCAGTACTCATACTCGATACCGAATTTTTTTTATCGGTCCCTAATATTAATACAAATATAACGTTAAAAAAGCTGCAACATCAGGTCCTGCAAGAATGACCTCCAAAAATACCGGTAGACAGCGGTCAGCTAGGTAAACTTATTTTTCTGTAAGAGCATTCACAGTCCTTGTAGTGCACCAACTGGCTTCTGTTCCCACTGTATGATACCTGGATCTATGTGCGGTAAACCCTTCTTACAATGTCCAGATAGCAGCTACTACCCAGCACCTCTGCAACATTTTCCAGCAAGAAGATCCCTTCTCCAGCCCAGCTTCTATCAGGTATCCACTCCAGCAGTAGCTTAGGCCCCAAACCCTCCAGCACATGGCATATGCTGAGACCAGGCCCTGACAATACATTCTCACACAGACCTCCTCCCAGGGACGAGCCCTGGGAGAGATAAAGTTCTGGAAAAGTGCTATCAAATGTTTATCATCTCCCCACCCATACCTCTGAGCCAGCCCCTCAGGGATTTGTTAAGTCAGACAAACATTCATAACCATTGGTTAACCCTCCTACACTGTATGCTGGAGCCCCCTCCCAGAAACAAGTGGAATGAACCAACCTACCAGGCTTGCGGAAGACCTGCGGACAGGTTACAGTCCAGCAATAAAAACACACTAAATTAAATAGAAGCATAAATGCATAAGGCAGTGTCACTACACAAACACACATATATATATATATGGATATATATATATATATATATA